TTTAAATTCTTCTTTTTGTTCGTCGTTGATAAATAATAGTATGCAACTCGTTTTATAAACTTAGACACTGGTTTTTATTTAACACTCGCTAGCAATCTTTGCTCGTTCCTAATGTAACTAAAATGGCGTTTATATAACTTAATACATAATATACTATTATCCATTTGCACATTGACAAGCTGTAACTTTATGGCTTTTTAGTCACGGGTTTTATTATAAATTTGAAAAAAGGTTAGTACCCTTTGAGAGATTTTAGATTGGGAAAAAGTTAGGTTAGAACTGCCTGACGGATGTCAAATGTTAAGCAAATTGGCTTAAAATTCTAAAAAACATTACTTTTTCTTAGTTGTAGATAAAGATTCGATCGTGCATACTTAAAACTATTATATTATTATATATTTTTTATGGTAACATTATTGATTAAATTTATTACTCAATGGTAATTTATTAAATATAAATTCAAATCCACACTGTATATCGAATAATGAAAAAAATACGAGTAGAAAAATCTCCATATCAGGTGATAAGGTATGTAAGTGGCTTAGGTACTAAATCCAAGTTTTTTTTGGGGTGGGATGTTTGGTTGTGGTCGTAAATTGGTGCTAAACCGTAACCCGTACGATTAAGTCTCAGTAAGATAAATTGTTCAGAAAAATCCGGGCAACATGAAAATGTCAGCCACAAATTGTTTTATGGCAGCTTTATCGTGCGATCAATAGTTTTCCCAGAATTCGATTTTGAATTTTCAACCCCCCATAGGGATAGAAAAATAAATAATTGTAGCAATAATAATGCACACATTTTGCACATTTAGACCCTCTTCGAAAATGTAACTGTTTTTGACTTTGACATTTTTGCAAATTGTTTTAAGGGTGTTAACATTTTTCTAGGGGTTGATCAGATACTTCATCGACGCGGCTCTTTGAGGGCTACAACTTTGTCATTTGAAAGAAAATTGCATAATTTTTTCCAAGCGCGAAATTTAATTGAAACTGATTTTTCAAAACTTCACCCCCAAAATTAACCTTGACGACTTCGCCCCTGTTCAACTCGTACAGGTTTAGCACCAATTTATGACCAATCCCAATCATCCCCTAACAAAAATCCATCGGGGAAATTTTGCTTGCAAACTTGGATTCAGTGCCTGCACCACCACCTGATGTGGAGATTTTACTTCTCGTAATTTTTTCATCATTTGCTACACAGGTTAACTTTATAAATATAAGAATAATCCATATATAAGAAAACAAAATTTTAGATAAGATAATAATTATAGCATATAAATAATAATTATTATAACGCACAGGTCTGTGTTATAACGTATAAATATGTATTCTGGGTTGCATACTATAACAAAATTCTTTATTAATTTATTTTGGTGTTTATTTTGTTTTTAAAGAGCAAAATAATTTTAAAAAACCCGTAAGAACGCAAAATCAAATTAAATAGAATTTTAAATTGAACCATAAAATTCAAAATTTATCATTTCCAAATTGTAAGTATGAGGCGCCGTTTGTGTCAAAATTAAAAGTGCTAAATAAACTTTTGTTTTATAAATAATTAATTATATGCTTTATAAAATTATTATTATTTTTGATTCGCAGAAAAATATTTTATAAAAAAATAATTTTATAAAAAAATTATTTTATAAAAAAAAATTATTTTATAAAAAAAATTATTTTATAAAGAAATAATTTTATAAAAAAAATTATTTTATAAAAGTCGACGGGCGCATTTATAAATTTTTACTGCAGCCATCTCTATTTGTTTGTAGACACTCGAGTAAACCCGAGGGAACCCGAACGCCCCTCCCCAGATAAAATTTTATGACGGACTGGGCTTTTGTTTGACGCAATTAGGGGAAACGATTGAAAATAATAATTTATTATTTTTATTAATTAATTAATTAATTTTTTTATCTACATTTATTTAGGTTTTTAGTTTTTAACAAAAATTCTTTATGTTTAAACGTTTTTTATAAGAAAGCACTTTTAGTTAAATGCAAAACAATGATTTACACCTTTAACTAATAATTAACTTTTAAAAGTGATTACGTTACATTTTAAATGTCTGAATTTTTAAAAGTAAATTAACTTAACCTTTAATTCGACACCTGAGTCCCCGGGACTCGCATGCGAATTTTGTTGAAGCCTAAAGCCTAATTTAAAGATTGCCTTCCTCCTTTCTCCCTTCCTCCCGTAAAAGATTAACAATTCGAACACCGCAGTGCTGTTTATAGATTTTAACAGTTAATTATTAGTTAAAGGTGTAAATTATTATTTGTTTTGCATTTAACTAAAAGTGCTTTCTTATAAAAACCGTTTAAAAACTAAAAATCAAAATAAATGTAGATAAAAAAATTAATGAATTAATTAATAAAAATAATAAATTATTATTTTCAATCGTTTCCCCAAATTGCGTCAAACAAAAGCCCAGTCCGTCATAAAATTGTATCTGGGGAGGGGCGTTCGGGTTCACTCGGGTTTACTCGAGTGTCTACATACATTTATAAAACAAAATAAGTTTATTTAGCACTTTTAATTTTGACACAAACGGCGCCTCATATGTAAGAATACATTTAATTTACGTTTTTAAAATGGTATAAAATCTTTAATTCTTGAATTTTTTAAATAAATTTTGAAATTTGCCGATAAAATTTAGTAAATTAGGGGTGACAGGGGGCTGGTGAGGCGCGCTTAAATTTTTTTTTTCAAACTTCAATTTAAATTGTGCTTGTGTAGAACTTGTCTATTTCATGTCATTATACACTCCACAATCCCCTACTGTTATCTATTTTTTGGATACATAATGTTTCAAATAAACAACATTTGATAATAAGATAAAGATCTTAAAAAATAAACATAAAATACTATAAGTACTATAATATTTTGAGGATAAAGGAATATAATTTTTAAATTCAAGGTCTTCTTAATTTTGGTAAAAAATATTGCGTCAAAATATTTTTATCAAAAAGCATTACGCAATTAATACTAAGAAATGCCTTATATTACCAATTGTAATATTTAATTAATTTGTTTTTGGTTATTTACCATTAATTAAATGATATACAATTAAACCACACTTTATGTAAATTGCCAACAACTCCTTTAGCAACAGATCTTATTTTTACACAAAGTATTTTATTTAAATCTCAAATTAATTTAATTAAAAATTAATGTAAATACCATATTTTTTTTTAAATCATAAATAAATATTGAAATAAGTATGCGGTGCCGAATTGTCTGGTGATTTTGTTGGCATATTTTATTTTTCTAAAAATAATTTATGATGAGTTAATCTTTCATTGGATCAGCTGCTATTTAAAATTGTTATTGCAAAAGTAAATGTTTCAGACAATATTTAATGTTATACTTATTGTTAATTTAAACGTTCAATTAAGGTCTGAAACTATTTTTTATTTGAAAACACGTTATTTGTAAAAAGAACAACAAAAGTTAATTATCACGAACCCAAACAAACCATCTTATTTTGAAGTAGGTACCCTAATTAAGTTATTGACACATTTTACCTTAAAAGAAAACAATAAATTTTTATAAGTGTTTAATTTTTATGATCTTATTGTTTAAAGATAAGCCTTATCTTTAACACAAAAAAACTAAAACCATGCTGTCTGTTAACAATAACATGTTGGTAATATTTATCTAAAAAGCATTGGTGTAGTAATTTATTGTTAATTATACCTAATCAATTAAAAATGATCTATTTAAAAACTTAATTAAATTTAATAAATGAGTGGAAAGATAGGTAATATTTTTTAAGGAATTATTTAGAGGAGTAAGTATGGCGAGAATAAGTACTTAATTAATCGGACGAACGCAAAAAAAAACAGGAAAAGTTGGTAAATTTTCAACAAAAAAAAACTTTTGCATTTTTTTTATTTTATTTAAAGGATACTACAAAATTTCAAAATTTGTACGGATAATATCCAGTACACTGATATCGAGAAAAAAGTAAATTTTCGACTGATTTAATTCAGTACTAATAAAAAAACATATTTGGTGCTGTATTAACATAACTATCGTTTTATTTTAAACATCGATTTATAAAATTATAATTTTGTAATTTAACTTTATAAATCATTCATTATTTTGTAGTTGGATATTTTCAATGGACTCCCTTTTGCAAAAAGAATATATTTTCTTGAACCAATTAAATTCATGTTAAGTTGTTAAATGCTACTTTTATTAAAATGTGTATATTTTCAAAAAAAATCCCTAAAAAACAATTCCATTGCCTGGGAAAAACAAAAAAACAATTTATAATTTTTTCCGATACTTTAAAACTACCCGTGACTATTTAGATATTTCGTTTAAATTCTTATTAACAAATCAAACGATAATGGGTTGAAATGTAGCCCTTCAAATAATTATTTCATTAAAATTTACTAATGAATCATGTTAAATCATACGACAAATGACAAATTTAATATAAAAATTATATTCTGGTAATTATTTAGTAATTGTTTTTTATTAAGTTTCGGTTATTATCCTTAACCAACATAAATTAACAATGCCCAATAAAACACGAATGAATCATGTTAAATCATACGACATCTAAATATAGCATATTATCATAAGTTATGGAATTTATATTTAAAATTGTTTAGCAAATATTTTAATATTACTTTCTTTATAATGTTGAGACTTTTTTCTTGATTAATATATCGATATCAATATATTTTTTAAATCGTTGTTGAATATTCCTACATGTAGATTTAAATAAATTGTTATAAATTTTCTATTTTAGCATTAAATAAATTTGATTGAGGTGTAATCATGTGTAGTCCCTTAAAAAATTGTAGATCAAGTACGCCACTGAATTATATTTAGTTTCTTAATAACAATAAATCATCAAAAATGTTGTGTTTTTGATATTGGCAGACAGCAAACAGTTACATAACCAGCTCTCTTAATAAATTAAATTACGAAATGGACGGCACATTTAAAAATGTTTAATAAACATCGTGTGTTTTGTTGCAGCAAACATATCCGAGACGATAACGGACGAGCTGATGCAAAGGTGGTACGGACCGGAGGTGATTGTGGCCGAGATCAAGATGCGGGAAGCGGAAAAACCGATCCAGACGAAGATGTCCGACGTGCCGGTCAACGAGAAGCTGGAAAAGTTCGTCGAAGATGTCAAGTAAGCACAAAATCCTTGGTCATTTAAATAAACAAATGAATTGTTATCTCAAGTCTCATTTCAATTGAGGTTAAAATAATTATTATAAGTAGCTACACTCTTAGCAAAAAGTCTTACAAAGCTGGATGTACACTTTTAAATCCCAAAATCATTATAAAGAATAGCATAAAGTTAAAAACATAAATTTTGACTTAAACATGTATTAAAAGTGAAAAAAACAAACATCAAGAATCTAAATATAATATTATGAGTATTTTTAAAACTTAATATTTATAAATACACCAGGAAATATCACATAAACAATGGGACCACAGTGTAAAAATACCTTGTAGGTCATAAATTTACGTCAATGCGATTTTTTATATTTCAAATTGAAAATTTAAGAGAGCTGTATTTGAGGGTTAGTGCATTATGTTTAATTTTACACCCTTTGCAACCAGATTGACACTTTTTAACTTAAGGAATAACCTAAATTAGAAATCTGTCTTTGAAGAATTAAAGGGGTATAACACAGCGGGGTATAACGAGTGTTTTTGAGAATAGGGCCGGAAAATGTTAAAAACATTGAGATATTTAAACGTGGAAGGATTTGTTGTGTGGTTGAGTGTTTTTCGAAAAAAAATCCTGGTTACCGGTTTTCCGATAAACAGTGGAAATCTGAATGAGGAAATAAATTGCATACAGTAAATATAAATTGTACCTATTCAATACAATAAATAAACATTTAAGTAATGATTTACGTGAAAATTTCAATTTTGTAAAAATCATATCAAAAAGAAGTTCTCTAAATTCAATCAACATTATGCATTATTAAAAGCGTTGATTGAGAAAGTCTACTCAACGGTAAAGTAGGTACCAAAACAGGTATTATGTTGCCATGAATTTGTAGATATAATTTTATTTTCAAAGCTTTTAAAAACAAAGCCAGTTTTTTTATTGTAATTTGTTTAAAAAAAATAAAATTCAATTGTTTAAATGTTTTGTATGGAACTCGATTGTACCTAATGTATTTTTATATATATTTTATCAAAATTAAAGTAATTTTTAATACTAAGTAAATAGAGGACACATTATTTTTAGATTTAGGTTTAATGTTAAAAATTTTTAGATAGATTTCTTTCATTAATTGTATAATATTTCTAACCCAGTTTTCCATTAATATTTTTGGCAAGATTATACAAAACAATTGGTTAACCGAACATATGGCAACATTAGCGTTATCAATTGTTTATAACAATAGGTAATCTCACACGGAGAATTTTTATGAAGATTATACTTTACGCAATTTTGATAAAAAACTTAATAACAACATTATTATAATTTATAACTTATCCACTCAAATTAAAATTAATCCAATTTAACTTTCCTTAATTAAAAATAAAATAATAATAAATAACTTTAAAACACATTTTTTCCACCAAGAATTGTGCTTATCTTTTGTTTACATTAATCGTTTTAGGTCAGCAGATTTACGATTAATCAGTAGGTATATGGACTAACATCAAAAACATGAGTTCATTGTTTTTTTCGAAATTAAGAATCCATATTTATTATGCGGTTCAATGCAAAACAAATATTTGGCCGAGAAGGTTGACCTTTACTTCAATTAATTAATGTTCTTTGTTTGTGCACAGGCTGGGAAAATACTTAAAAACACATATTTAAAATATATATGTGTTAAAATGTTCAATTAGGTTTTGTACTTTGAAACTTTAAAAATTAAACATATAAATTATATAATCATAAAATCATACTTCATACAAAACGCGAGAAATTAATAAATTGCATTTTTATAGATTAATAATTTTCCAAATTAAAATTTCTAGGAAGAGTACCTACTGAATTATTTTATTATTTTTTTTAAAAGCAACGCGGAGAATAAAAACTAATTTGTAAATATAGATTGTACTAAATACCAAGTTATTTTATTTTATGAATCGTTTTTAATTAATTTAAATTATTGTTTGTCAAACACTTATAAATTCAATTATTCAAGCTTTGATTTGATCATACTCATATTATAACAACTTAAACAATGTTCCCAAACTATGTGGTAATATATTTGCATGTTATTCACATATCACAGGGTAATAATAAGAACCATCGCTTAAAATCGCAAATTTCCGAACTAAGATCTGACATTATTGCATGCCTATCGCAATTAGCTTTGATTTTCATTATTTCTTTTAATAAAACTATTCTTGGAAAACATTATACATTATTATTATACATAAAGGGGTAAGAAGCAAAAGGGTACAAGTGCAAAAATGAGAAGTGGAGTTATTAACTTTTTGCTATTTATACAAGTGCATTTTAGCATGAAAATAAGTTAAGTGCAGAATTGGGTAGTCGGGAGTACAATTTTTTTTTTAATTTTCTCATAATGTGAAAATTGTATGAGTCCTGCATGTTGATTAATGCAAACAACAATATTGAAATAAGTATCCAGATTTTTGTTTATAAACTTATATAACTTATTTTCATGCTAAAATGCACTTATAACTTTTGCTTCTTACCCCTTCACATTACATTTTTTAAATTAGTAAGAACAATAATGAGTTTAATAAAACCTTGTAGTCTCGTTATTTGCCTCTAAATCCCACATTCTAGCTGTAAAATTGTAGGAAATTATGAAAAATCAAACATTTGAGTATTTAACCTGGTGTCTCCGAATTATATCCAAAAATTTTAAGGGGTTAATATACAGAACATGGGGTAAAAATGCTGTATAAGGCCCCTTTGAAGTTAAGTGCCATACTCAAATTTTTGAAGCGATTTTTCTTAAAAACGATTGGTTTTTGGACCATTTAAAATAGAGGACCTTTTATGTGTAAAATTAAATGAAAAATCATTACGGACACCCGTTATTTCCAAACTTGTTTTTTTTTTACTTGAGTATCATCTAAATAATCTTTTCATAGTCTAAAAACAATTTTACAAAAAAGGTCTTTTATGATTTTTTTCTTAAAACCATTTATTTAAATAATATCTGAGGACAATCTTTGAAATAAACAAATTAAGTCTTTTTTTTGAATTTTATAAGTTGTATTTATTTTTTTTACTTGGGTATTTATTTGTTTACAGTTTAAAAACAATTTTTAAAAAATCTGATGCCGTTTAACATGACTAAATGATGATACAAAGTTTTTATTTTTTTTGTATAATTAAAACTTGCTTATTAATTGACATAACACAATACACAAGACAAATTTTTTTAGTCAATTATATTCTGTACTAAAAAGGTCTCTTACGCCTTTTTGTAAAACCATCAATTTAAATGATATGGAGGGTCAAAGTTTAAAATATATAAAATAATTAAAAATTAAAAGTATCATCATTTAGGCAGGGTTAAACGACATAAAAAAATCAAAATTATTTTTATACTTTAAACAAATAGTTTAAATGATAACCAAGTAAAAAAAGATAATGACAATAGTTTTCATTTTGATTTATTTCAAATTTTGACTTCCGATGATTTTTACAAAAAAAATATAAGACCTTTTTCCTATAAAAATATGTCTTATATAATAATAATGAATAATGTCTATTTATTGGTGAGTTATGTTATGTCATTAAAATGTCATTTAGGAAGGGTTAATTGCATGGGCGTAGCCAGAATCTTCAGCAGGGGGGCATTAAAAAGGCATTTTTACCACATGTTCTTAATAACTTTTTATCAAATTTTGCGCTGTAGATTAAAAAAAATAAACTAATTTAATGGGCACCCTAGTGCCCCATAAACCTCCTGCTAGGGTCCGCCCTGATAAAAAGTCAAAAAATGTATATATATCTTACGGCTAATGTGCAAACTTGGATAGTTTATAAACTAGCTGGATAGTTTATAAACTAGCCAAACTGTCAGCTATTTTAATTGAAAATGTATTTTCAACTAAATTAGCGGCTAGTTTACAAAATAACCAAGGATCTTGGCTAATTTACTTAAAATTATTAGGGAAACTAAAATAGCTGGATATACTATCCAATTCAATTTGGCTAATATGAAAACCAAAATTTCTAGTAACACAAAATAGCCAAGCTTTAGCTAGTTTGTAAACTAACCAACTAATTCTCTGGCTAATTTATTAAAAAAGTGAGGTTACGGCATTGTTTTTCGTTTTGCCGGCTTAACCGGATTTGTTTTGTGCATTTTAACGTTTTTAAAATGAATCATAGGCAAAATTTTAACGCTTCCTTGTTAGAAAACTCAGCAACAAAACCCTACAACCAAGTAAATTAGCCAAGATCCTTGGTTATTTTGTAAACTAGTCGCTAATTTAGTTGAAAATATGTTTTCAATTAAAATAGCTGACAGTTTGGCTAGTTTATAAACTATCCAAGTTTGCACATTAGCCGTGACATATACATAGATATACATATCTAAGATAAAAAATAAAATGTAAATGTTTTAGTGCCGTCTTCAAAGTTCTCTTAAAACTTGTTTTCATATTTGTTTTTACTTTGTATTTAAATGCAAATTACATCAATGCATTGATATAAATAGATTTTGTAATTTTCAAAAACCATAATTGAGTTTTCAACAACAAAACAGCGTTTCCGACCGCAACTGTTAGTTCATCTGTATTTATGTGGGTAAATAAATACAAATATGCGTCCGAACAACAAGGTTAGAAAGAGCCGATCTTGTGGCATTGTATAAGCGCTGCTATAGCAAGAGCAGTGCGCGCGATAAGATAAGAGATCGGTATCGCGGCCGCGTCCATATAATTCGGCAGGTTGCGAGCCGAGCGCTCAAATCTCGACTCGTCCGTCTATGCATCGCGCCCCATTCGAATCCTGAACTTGAATTGTTTTTTGTGTTTTCGCTCCCGCGTGTCGCTCGTCCTCTCGGTGCGTGGTGTTTGGTTTATTTTCGTCTAGCAATAATAACATAATTTTCGGTGGCAGTGATTCTATATTTATCGCACTCGCGCAGTCTGAAAAACACCTTGTTGGTTGGGCTATTTATATCGACGGTTTATGGCAGTTTTATGATTTTTCTCGACATCCGAACCAGGTAAATCAGTCAGTTTTTTCAATGCTGCTCCAAGAGAAGTCCATGCATTTGCAAAGCTCGGATATTTGTGATTTGAACTCGGTGCTAGGAGAGATATTTTCCACTAAAAAAACACTCAGGTTAGTAACGACCAACGGATGGTCTAATAGTATAAGCAACTTCCGGTTTTTCCGGTAATAATATGTAAATTTAACACAAACAATCATTATGGCGAAAAATAATAGTTTTGATAACCAATTATAATTTAATACATTATAATATATAAACCCTATTAACAGAATATTAGATAAGCAAGCCAACTAACAACTCGGTATAAGAAGTTTATTTTGTTTGCCTTTCTAGTTTTTTTTATACTAAATTAAACTTTCAAAGCTATACATTTTTTTAAACTTTTACTTTTACCATGATAAAAGTTTTAAACTTTTTATTCTGTTTATTAATTTACTCTTTGTTTACCAAGTGATTCACTAGAAATATATCTAAAAATATATGAAAAAATATTCGATTTTTAAACACATAACTTTGCCAAATAATGGTTAAATATTTAACCTTTAGATTAATTTTTTTGTAATTAAACAATTTAATTTCTGACGGTCTAAAAAGTGCAATGCCCGTGCCCCCTTTTTAAAGTAAATAAATGAATCGTTTTATTTCGTTTCGGACAAAAAATGTAGAACTTAAAATTTTAACACTTTTTGTTTGACCAATAGAAAACGATATAAAACGATTAAAAACTTTTTAAAAAGGGGGAAAAGCGCCAGAGGGGGGAACACGGGTATTCAACATTTTACCCTTTAGACCACTGGTACCAGAAATGTTGTGTGTTAAAAAGTAAATTTAAATAAATAAATAAAACATAAAAATTAAAGAAAATCACATATTATGTTGTGACAGCAAAACATTTTTTAATCTTGCTTTGTGGTGTTAATAAAATGTTTTACAAAATATGAAGTACAGTCCTTGGCCAAATTAGTAGACCCATTTACAAATTTTCTTTAATTTTGTGAATTTGTAAAATAGTCTATATCTTCTGATAAAAATGCAGTTTTGAATACAAAATTGATTTTATGAATAAAACAGGTTAAAAACTCTTTTTAAGACATTTTAAGATGGAATTTAAATTAAACAAAATGATGGTTAAAATGACTAAAACACTCAAATTATGTTTAGGGTTTTAAATTGTCGAAAAAAAGCGTCGAATATTATCCGTAAAAATTTGGAAATTTTCAGAAAAATTTACTTATGCATTTTTTTCCTATTACCATAAATAAAATGAAAAATTTCCCAATTTTTTCGTTTTTATCCAGAAAAAAACGGGCTTTTCCGCCAGCTAAATTTTTCCGGAGATTTTTAAACCCTAATTATGTTATAAAATTAATATTTTAAAGGAAATACTTTTATTACAAAATGTTTAGTGCAAAAACCGTTTTTGTCAAAAGTAATAATTTTATAACATATAATATATTATGAAGTTTAGTAATTTTATATCATTACTTGAGTCCTAAAAAGCATTTTCAACGCAATTCATATTCATAAAACCACTTTTGTACTACAAAAGTGGTTTTATGAATAGCTGGTGGATTTTATGTATACCATGGGTTCCATGTCTAATAACTGAGATATTGCAATATCTCAGTTATTAGACATGGAACCCACACCAAATTTATAATAGTTTATAATAACATTAAATAAACAAGTTCGGCGCAAACAGTTTGCGAAAAAAAGTTAGTTTTTCCTGTTGCCTCAACCGCCTCCAGGTCCCCCTATTTGAGATAATTCCAATTAAAGTGGTGCAATTTATTATCTACTATAATTTATCGACAAATTTAAAATTTCATTTAAAAAATCCAAATATTACAAATTTTATTTGATTTTAAATTTGTATTATTTATTTTATTAAAATTAAAAAAAATTCCCGTGCCCACTTTTTAAAACAAATAAATTAATATATATTCTGTTGTAAGAAAAAAAAATGCCTTTTTAATATTGCTTTGTGGTGTTAATAAAATGTTTTACAAAATATGAAGTATACCGCTAATATTTTTACTTTATACCTAAAATTTATATATAAATGCAAAGATCACACAATGTCAGAAGAACTAGATAATAGTATATTCTGTAAAAAGTTTGGAATACAGCATATTCCGGTCGAGCCGAAGGCGAGTTTGACGGTTTCACGAGAGCGGAATATGCAATTCCAAACGTGTTTCAGACTATAATTTTTCTACGTTTCCAAAAAATACCATAGAAAAATAATTTAATTGGAAGAAAGTGAGGTTGGATCGGTCTAAAATTTGTTAGATATTAAAAACAGAGATGTCGCCACGAGTGTTTATTCTGTAATCCGAAGATAGAATATTTCATTCTGTAACACTTTACGGAATATATGTCATTCCATAGACAAAAGTGATATTAGAACGTAATAGGAGTAGAAAAATGATTTTATTACATTTATAATGTTTATTAACATATTCTTTTTTATGTTCTAGAAACGGTATTTACCCTTTGACAGCGTTTGGCGCGAAACAGCCTCCACCTGCGCGATCGCGAGCAATCTCGCCCGAAATGGCCGAATCGGTGAAATCGGTGACGCCCGAGCCGCTTGACGTAGAAAATAGGAAAATAATCAATATGATGTGTGATGTAAAATCCAAAGAAGAAAGCTGTGATTTAATGGTGAGTAACAAAATACGCAAACACAAAGCTGGTTGTGCTAATTGTCGGGTTTGCTGTTAGTCATTGTTTAATTTTCGCGAAGATATAACAGTGTAAGCAAATTAAAGGTCGAGCAATATTATGGGTGATTCATTTGATAAATAAAAAAATCTAATTTTTTTATTGTGTTTGTTCTTTTATTTTTATAAATGTACAAGGGATGTAACTTCTAAAAATAGATTAACATGTTTTTTATTTATCTTTATCTTATCTGAACCACCATAAAAACAAATCTGCACTTGTTGTCTAGTGTATTTTTAAAATATTTATTTTAATGGCTAATTAAGTAACAAACACATAATAAATATTTACGTGGGTTGTATTATAATAATATCTATAAAAAAATGTTATTTTTAAGACCTTTTGCTCACTTATCCTCCTTCTAAAAATTAAAAGAATACAAGAAAAGCAGGACCAAATAGTTTATAAATAAAACTTTATCATTTGAGAATACTAAATTTATCTCTTTCTTTCAGTTGACTATTGTACTTAGGATGGACGACAAAATGAATAGACAATTAACTAGTTGCATATCCGCCGGCGACAACCCCAAAGAGTTGGCCCATGAACTTGTTCATTATGGTTTTATAAACGATGTAAGTTTTTCTTTTTTATTCCTTTAACCTTTTTAAATTCGTATTGAGAACCTTTCAAACACAACCGGATGAATCGGTTTTGTTTATTTTCGTTAGGTAAATTTAGTTTAAATAAATATTACACAATAATTTGTTCAAAATACTATGTTATAACCCTTACACTCCTGAGAAATTAAAATTAAAATTTTAAAGCAAAATTAAAGTTTTCTCGACAAAATTGCTTTAATATGAAAACCAAAATAAAATTTTTTTTTTAAGAGTCAAAGAATTAACCTTTCCTGAAGACACTTTAAGCATTCTACATTAAATAAAGCCATTTTTGTAATAAAAAGACAATAACTTACTATTAGACGCAATGATGTAAAGAACTATAGCACGTTTAAATTGCCATCCAAAACAAAAACAAGGCAGAAATTGGTGAGCGCATGCTTTTGTCTGCGTAGTAAACACATATCACAATTGTACGATTGAGGAGTGGGAGCTCCACTGTATCATTTTAACCCATAAAGTATATGTACATAAGGAAGTCACAATTGTAGCCACATGGAGCGTAAGGGATAAATTGTTAAAAGTATTCCACAGAAAACATTTTTAAATTAAACGTTTATTTACCATTCAAAAGCAGATGAATCCATTTAATCAAGCAAAAGTCCATTGTTTATCTTGTATTGTTATTAAGAAATTAAAGCATATCAAGTTTTTATTAAAATTTATATTACCTATTAAAAATAAATTATTTTGCATTGTTTGAAACTTTCAAATTAAAGTACCTAGTACATGAGTACCTAAGTATCTAATAATTTTTACGCGTGCTTATCTATAAAGAATAGATAATTAGAAACTAATATATATCACAATTTATTAAAAAAATGATACATTGTAGTATTTCATTTAATAGGTGCATTTTGCAAAATTTATCTTGCCTTAAATTATTCTTTATTTATTACATTTTTAGAGCAAACAATGAGTGCCCCTTGCCAAAGGGGTGTAGCCCCCTTATAAAGCATTTTTGACCCTATGTTATTTTTTTCCATATTTAGCGCTGTAGAATTTTTGGAGAGACCCTGTATATTTTATGACACTAAAAAATTTTTTGGGAAATTTTTATAAGAACAAAAAATAAAAGGTTATTTATGTAATAATATTATATAAAATAAAATTTAGGGTAAAACATATTCCTTTTATATTTTATTTTTACACCAATATTTTTGAAAAGGGTAACTTACAGTTGTATTATAAATTAAAAATAATTCAAGATTAAAAATAAAAAACATATTTTGTTATGCAGATTTATTTTAATAAATAAATTAAATTATAATTATATTTTTTTTAAATCATAAAATATGAAAGGATGTAAAAAATAAAATAAATAAAAAAGTTTTTTTATACCATTTAATACTCTTATAACTTATAAGTTATAAGGGTATTGACTGGTATTAGAAATATAAGTTTTTCATAATAATAACAATCAATCATTAGACCAATAAAGAAAAAAATTTGATTTTATCATAGACCATGTCTATATTTTCATATTAGTTTAAAAGATTCATAAAATGTGTTTGGGTCTTTCATAATTTTACCACATTTTATTTATTTGACTCTCAAATATGTATAGGGTGAACACTTTCAAAAGCGATCATTTATGCTTAATTTGGCGCTAAAACTAAAAAGCTGGACATAAATATCCAACAAATAACCACGTCGTAAACGATGTAATCATCAAAACATCCAATTACAAAATGATTAAAAATGAAACTGAGGTTTGGAGTTTTTTTAATAAAACTTTTAAAAACAAATAAATATACTACTTGCAATTCATGCAATATTTTAGTATTGTAGTACCTTTATTTTATTTAAAAAAAATTTCAATAAAAAAATTATAATGATCTCTCCATCACCATAAAAAGAGTAATAAAAATCGACCATTTTTTTAATTTTTGTATAGTATTTATATTTTAGCATTGACACCAGATTCTGTTTCCGTTTCTGTTATGCAAACTGGTAGTGAAAGATCCTTTATGTACAGTGTTTCTTTTTTATTTGAAGAGCTACTAGGTCGGTTAAATAAGTAAAAAGTTGCGTAATTACAAGTCTATTAAAATGGCATTTAAAAAAAATCGGCGATTCTCAAATAATTTGAAGCAAACTAAAAACTATCAAAACCAAAAATCGTTTTAACTTCGTTATTCCAGAGAATTTAAAAAAAATGTAAGTTTTACATGTAAACATACACATTTATCTACATTAGGGTGTCCCTTATTTTTTATTTTTTTACGCATACCCTCTAATTATATTTATTACGTGTTTATATACTCCCAGTAAAAATTTCAGCTCATTCTATAAACGGGAACCCGTGCCGACTTGCATCTGAACCCTCCGTGAGCCAACGTTAGGCGCGCGGTATTTTGTAACACGGATGGTCGCGAGGTCTTCGATCGTAAGTCATTTTGTGTTTGTTATTATGTGACCCTTATATTATAAATTATTGACAAATGTTAAAATATAGTTTTATTTATGTGTATACTTTGATAAAAATGTATATTTTCACAGGGAGTGGCTAGTTACCCGGAAGGGTCTAGTGAATATGCCGTAAACTCTGAAATTGATAAACTTAATGGGATTTACTCTAAATAACTAAAAGAGTCTATTGTGAGAGATGACTACCGAAAACTGTCTGAAATATTTTTGGGAGGATATCAAGAAAAGAAATGCTTATAAAAAGCTGAAATTTCATATAACAGTATATTTTAGCAATACTAATTAGTATATTAATATATTTAAGGGATAAAATCAACTATTTTTTTTTTGGTTATTTTTTAGCTGTCATTCAGATATAATAAAAAAAAGAGTTTCGGGTAATTAGTTTTACGGCCTATTCACCCGACACTTCCGGGTAACTAGCCACTTCCTGTAAAAATATTCATTTTTATTAAAGTATACACATAAATAAAACTATATATTAACATTTTTTAATAATTTATAATATAAGGGTCACATAATAAGAAACACAAAATGACTTACGATCGAAGACCTAGCGGCCAACCGTGTTACAAAATACCGCGCGCCTAACGTTGGCTAATGGAGGGTTCAGATGCAAGTCGGCACGGGTTCCCGTTTATAGAATGAGCTGAAATTTTTACTGGGAGTATATAAATACGTAATAAATATAATTAGAGGGTATGCGTAAAAAAATAAAAAATAAGGAACACCCTAATCTACATGTGAAAAAGCAACCACAACTATAGTAACTAGTCATTTTTGACTAATTAATTTTTAGAGAGCATTTAAAAATTGAATAAAAAATCAGCGGTTCTCGAATAATTTTAAAAAAACTAAAAACCTGTCAAAACAAAATTTTAAAACAAAGTAATAATAATAATAATAATACTTTATTCATATTACCATACAATTTGTATTTACATTCGTCAAAAAAAAAGTTTTACATTCAAAAATATACTATATAATATATAATTTTCCTATTTTACATGGTTGAATGAAAAAAAAATTAAGGAATCCAATGATGTATCAAACTACATAAGTTATAGCGGCCATTATAAAAACATTAGATGGTATCGCCGACGTTGGTCTAGTGGTTAGTGCTGCTGACTACAAGCCGGAGGTCGTGGGTTCGAATCCCACCAGGGGTATGGCTGTTTATTTGTGTTTGTCCTATTGTGTATTAGTCCTTCGGAGGGGACTTTAAGCCCGCGGTCCGTTCCTACCCCTAACCCGCACAAGCCATTCAGTTGGCTTATGGGACTTCTTAAGAAGTAAGGGTGGAACTAAAAGAGCACTTTTGACTTTTGTATATAAACTTTGTATAAACTTTGTATATAATGGTAACTCAAAACATAGTAGCAAAGAAATTAAATGAAAATTTAGATTAACGTATATGTTTGCATGTAAAACTTACTTTGTTTTAAAATTCCCAGGAATAACAACGTTAGAACGATTTTTTGGTTTTGACAGGTTTTTAGTTTTTTTTAAATTACTGTTCTACTTTTCCAACTTTTGACGACATTTTCGGATTCAGGAGATAATTTTACATGGAAATTGACTGCTAAATGTTCGGGATACAAATTGCTATTGACGAGAGTGTCGTTTTAGTAGCTCTTCAAAATTCAAAATTTTGCTGTATTATCCAGAATTTGCAATACAGCATTCTTCATGTAAAGCAGAATGTAGAGCATTTGCTTAAAGTCCTCAATATTTTTAAACTTCACTTACTCGGCGACTTTCGGTTTTTTGAATATTTCGTGATATTTTTAGGGATATTTTAGGTTGTATGTTCTGTCAAATATGAATATAGTCATTCGAAATTTGATTTTGTCGATGAAATCCTCGACAGTTGCCCTTTATGATGCGCAACAATTTTATTTAAGTTAAGTATTATCAGTATTATACTGCCAATATAAGCACAAAGGTCCCATCTGCAATATTAAGTATTAAAGGGCAAGATTATTTTTTTATCACTATTAAAAATTTTACTTTTAATTTTACACTGTAAAAAAATAAAATTTCAATAATTAGGAGGAAAGCACTAAATTCAAGGGAGAAAATGAGCCCCATCTGGATCATTTGCGGGGGAAGCATTTGACAATCTGGCAACACTGGTCTAGCGCCATCTAACTGACAAAAATTCTTGTGTACGCTATACATTACACTACAGGAAACAAAGAACAGTAATAAACACTTTAATTATATTCTTAGTAGCGTCCTGTACTTTTTTCCTTTTGTACGAGTTCTTTGTTTCCTGTAGTGTAATGTATCTCTATAGAGAATGATCCAGTAGGTATTATTAAAAAAAATCGATTAGGAGAGAAATATTTATAGCTGATTATTTCCCTCATTATAATATGATAATCATAATGAACCAATCAAAAGCCTTGAATTTTCGAATAAATTTCGTTTAAATAAACGATTAAATCACTAGAACTATTTAACAGCGATTAAATTTTAGCCTCCATATTGGATTTTTGTTTACGATTTTATGGTGTTATTTACAAGTTTTAACAAACATTTTTAAAAAAACAATAAAAAATAAGTTATCTAGTTTACGAAATATCAATTATTACTTATTACATACCTTAAATTAATGGAATTTTCTTTAAAAAAATATTTATAAATTTTGGCACATACGTCAGATTTTATGAATTGTCAAATAGTTTGCTTTAATTCGAGAAATAATCTAGACGTATATCACTCAGCCTATAAATTTAATCTGTCAAACTATGCTCAGTAAGTTTTTTATTTGATTTTTCTTTTTAGAAAATAGTTTCATGCAAAATAATTAATAATTATTATTATTAATAAACCCCCTCGACTGCTACGCGGTCTCGTGATTTTATTAAATTATTTTGCATTCAACGTTTTCCAACAAAAACCAAACAAAAAACTACTGAGCCTAGTTTAACCGATTAAATTCATAGTTCTCGTGATATAATATATGATTATTTCCCTCATTATAATATGAATCAATCAAAAGCCTTGAATTTTCGAATAAATTTCGTTTAAATAAGCGATTAAATCACTAGAACTATTTAACAGCGATTAAATTTTAGCCTCCATATTGGATATTTGTTTACGATTTTATGGTGTTATTTACAAGTTTTAACAAACATTTTTTAAAAAACAATAAAAAATAAGTTATCTAGTTTACGAAATATCAATTATTACTTATTACATACCTTAAATTAATGGAATTTTCTTTAAAAAAAATATTTATAAATTTTGACACATACATCAGATTTTATGAATTGTCAAATAGTTTCCTTTAATTCGAGAAATAATCTAGACGTATATCACTCAGCCTATAAATTTAATCTGTCAAACTATGCTCAGTAAGTTTTTTATTTGATTTTTCTTTTTGGAAAATAGTTTCATGCAAAATAATTAAAAATAAAACCCCTCGACCGCTACGCGGTCTCGTGATTTTATTAAATTATTTTGCATTCAACATTTTCCAACAAAAACCAAACAAAAAACTACTGAGCCTAGTTAAACCGATTAAATTCATAGTTCTAGTGATATAATATATGATTATACAATATAAGTTTGTGGAAGTACTTGAAAATATTGTGAAATTTTGAATTTCCTACAATTCCAGGATTAATCTGACACATAAGAACCAATTAATACTTTTGTTAAATTTAAGTTGACACATGATTTAAGTGTACACGTCCCCCCTGTTTTTTCTCAAAAAGTTTTTTGTTTGCGGCATTTTACCCTTTTTGGCCTATTTTAACTGCCTTACCTTTCGCTATGTACAGGGTGATCCCCTATAATGTCGCCACCTTTAACTTTTTTATTTTAAGTGTCCCAAAAAATTTAAAAGTGTGGTACTTAAAAATACTTTTTTTCTACGTATAAAGAAAATTGAAAAATTGATCAGTATACAGGGAAAAACAAAAAGTTTATTTTTTTTCAATGGATCACCCTATATATGTATTTATTTTTCGATTCCTTGTAAAATTCTAAGCATATTTCATATAACATACCTAAATTCAACCGTTTCTAAAATATTTAAATTATTTTTAATATAATAAGTTGAAATAGTTTCTTTCTCTCTGAGTACGCCATTTTTACTTATTTAACAAGACATATTGACATAATGTCACTATAGTAATTTATTTTCAATAAAAATTTTGGTATACTGAGGCTTCTTGATTTCTAACAGTTTAAAAAACATTTAATGATAACATTTCGAATGCGAATATTTCAGAAACGGTTAAATTTAGGTATATGGTTTGTTATATGAGTTATGCTCAGAATTTTACAGGGAATCGAAAAATAAATTCATATATAGGGTGATCCATTGAAAAAAAATAAACTTTTTGTTTTCCCCTTTATACTGATCAATTTTCCATTTTCTTTATAGGTAGAAAAAAAGTATTTTTTAGTTCCTACATAACCAAACTTTTAATTTTTTTAAAATAAAAAAGTTAAAGGGGGGCGACATTATAGGGAATCACCCTGTACAGGGTGGTTATGTAGGTACTAAAAAATACTTTTTTTCTACGTATAAAGAAAATTGAAAAATTGATCAGTATACAGGGAAAAACAAAAAGTTTATTTTTTTTTGATCACCCTATTTATGTATTTATTTTTCGATTCCTTGTAAAATTCACCCTAGAGTACATTGACGTAAGCTGCGCAAAGAACCGATTTCTGTCAAGGCAATCATGTTTGCGTATAAAAATAAATTGAACTCTACTTTACTCCGCTCAAAGTAAAGGGTTTTTCATTTAGAGCGTCAGAACTTTTAAATGAGATAAAAAAATAACTACATGTTATAATCCCGTAATCTATATTTTATTTTGAAGAACGATCGATGACATTATGTTTTAAATATAATATCGTTTAAATGTCCCCCTCGACTTTGCCTGACTGAATGCATTATGAAGGCCTAATTTCTACTATTCTTTTACAAATATCGCGTGGTATACTTTGAATAGTGTGTTTAATGTTTCGTTTAAGGTCGAGAATTGTTCGTGGCTTATTTTTGTAAACCTGAGATTTCACATGATCCTTTAGATGCACAAAAGTTGACTTATTTGCCAGTAAACCAGTTTTTTCCTAAACGATAAACCTTATATTTCTCGCAACTTGCAAGTGTTTGGCAAACCGAACATGCATTTTGATGGTAAATACGAATTATTTCTAAGCGCTGTTAAATTGTTATCTGTCCATATTAATTTGACACAATGTACTGAACACATGTGTTGTCAAGATTTGACATTTACATTCCAGAGCAGCCTTATTTTTAGGGTTAAAGTTATGACACTCAAAATGGAAAACCCTTTATTTTGTTAATATTTTTTTTTGTATTAAACCTCTCTTTTCTAGATCGACCGCGATAAAATAGCGGGCCTAATCGAGGAGGCGATCCAGAACGCCGCCTCGGGCCACAGCAGCCCGGCCAACTTCCAGATGACGCTGCCGACGCTGGCTGCCGCCGTCGCCCACCAGCAGCAGCAACAGCAACAACAGCACCACCAACAACACACCTCCGCCCCGACGACGGCGCCCAGCACCGGGAACGCGACCGCAGCGCCGCACCTCGTCAACTCGCTGCCGTCGGTCGTCACCAACGCCACTCAAGTGCCCATGCATACGACCAGTTAGTAACTGCTGAACGGTAATTTAATTCGACAGCGACGCAAATTCGGGATCCCCACTGCCCCCCGAGCGCATCTAATCAGTTAGTCCTAGTGATACTCTTACGAAACGGTTTCGATCGAATTTTGCGGATTTGTTGGCAACGCTGACATACAAGACGTTTCTCGCCTTTTACCTCGTCCCTGTGCTTCGTTTTAGATGTGCTCAGTGCCCAGGTGAAACTAAGCACAAGACCAGTTCTTATGAATTTGGTAAGTAGTTAAATCCATGGTAACACCATGTTTGATATGCAGACATTGTTTGTACTGCAGAATCCATGTTTCCGTAGAAACTAACCAAAATAAATAATACTAGCAGGCTTAAAATTATACAGTCCCTGGCCAATTTATTCTTTAGTTTTGAGAATTTGTAAAATAGTCAATATCTTATGATAAAAATGTATTTTTGAATGCAAAAGTGATTTTATGAATAAAACACGTTAAAAACTCTTTTTAGGACATTAATTAGATAAAATTTAAATTGAAAAATGTATGGTTAAAAATTACTAAAATACTCAAGTTATGTTTAGGGTTTTAAAGTGTCGAAAAAAAGCGTCACTTTTTTCTCTAAATCAGTGTACGGATGTTATTCGCAAAAATGTGAAAATTTTCTGAAAAATTTCCTAAGTTTTCCGTTTTTTTCCGCCCGCTCCATTTTTCCGTAAATTTTAAAACCCTTATTACGTTACAAAAATAATATTTTTCAGAAAATACTTTTATTACAAAATGTTTTGCAAAAAGCCGTTTTTCTGAAAAGTGATAATTTTATAACATTTTAAAAATGAGTCATAAAAAGCGTTTTCAACGCAATTCTATTCATAAAACCACTTGTAGCACAAAAAAGCATTTTAGTGACAAGCAATTTTTGGAATTTGTAAATAGTCAATATCTTCTAAAAAAATGAATAAAACACGATGAAAACTGTTTTTATGAAATTTTTAAGATGAAATTTAAATTTAAAAAATGATGGTTAAAAATGTCTAAAATACTCAAATTTTGTTTAGGGTTTTAAAGTGTCGAAAAAAAGCGTTGAAAATTTACTTTGTCGAAAAAAAGCGTTATTTTTTTCTTGAAATCAGTGTACGATTATTATCTGTAAAAATTTGAAATTTTTTGAATAATTTACTTATGCATTTTTTTCCTATTACCATAAATAAATTGAAAAAAAAGCATAAGTCAATTTTTCTGAAAATTTCCCAATTTTTCCGCTTTTATCCAGAAAAAACGGTTTTTTCCGCCGGCTTAATTTTTCCGGAAATTTTAAAACCCTAATTATGTTATAAAATTGGTATTTTATAAAAAAGACTTTTATTGCAAAATGTTTAGTGCAAAAAACCGTTTTTGTGAAAAGTAATAATTTTATAACATAAGTATTTTAGAAATTTTTAAACCATTAATTTTTTTATTTTTAAATTTCATTGTAGAAATGAATCCTTAAAAGCGTTTTCAACGCAATTCTATTCATAAAACCACTTTTGTAACACAAAAAAGCAATTTAGACTAGGCATTTTACAAATATCTAGGTTAATAAATTGGCCGGGGTCTAAGCACTAAAAAGTTTGGTTTTTACAAGAAAATTTAGGGAACCTAAAATCAGTGTTGCCAACACTCGCATATTTTGTCGAAACGATCTGCGCATGCACGTACCCCCACACACACTCAGACAGTGTCCAAGTTAAAAAATAATTGCCATAGACTATTTCCCCCAATTTTGCGATATATCTTAAGGGTTACTAAGTACTGAAATGCAGGGTTAAACTTACCTTAAAAATCAAATACCTACTGTAAAGCGATTGAGAGATGGATTCCTAGAATGTTGTATTTTCTACACGCCGGTTTTTAATAGTTAAAATAGTTATATTTAAAATTACTTCAGCTTATCGAAGCACTTTTAATGTACGTAATTAGACCTTAAGATTCAACTATGTAAACTAAAAAAATATGACATTTTATTATTCAACTCTCAAGCACATTGATTTAAAAATAAAAATTAGGTTTTTAAATAACAGAATTGATATTTAGCGAAATTTATAATTAAATTATTGAATAACTAATTTTGAGGAAAATATTTTAAAACAAAAATAGGCTTGCAGCTTCTAGACCCTCAAAAATGTTGGGGTTAGTCTAAAAAAAAGGGACTAACAAAACAAAATCCACGTTTTTAAATCAAAATTTTGCATGTCACTAAGAACAATCACACAAATGCTGAATCTCAAACTAAATTTTTTATGGGTTTAGTTTCTGTTGGTTCCTTGTTTTGTCGGGTTGGGTCTGGTTTTTGTTTGGTAGGCTTAGATTCTCGAGAAGACTGTAATTTTTAATGCTGGACATTTTCGCTAGTCATGTGACCATGTGTTTTACTGTGATCAAGCTCCAATGACATAACACTGGACTGTTTAATCATTTAAGTTTCATGATAAATGTGATCTTTATAAATTATAAAACAAAAAAATTATGTAAATTGTAATTTTTTAAGTGGAAAAAATTGAACCTGCTGTTTTTTACACGACGACGTGTCGAGAACCGTTTTTTTGTTACATAATATATTATTTTAAATAACCAGTGATTTTACAGTCCCTGGCCAATTTAGACCCGTTCACAAATTTTCTTTAATTTTGAAAATTTGTAAAATAGTCAATTTCTTTTGATAAAAATGCCTTTTTGAATAGAAAAGTGATTTTATGAATAAAATTCGTTTAAAACTCTTTTCAGGACATTTTTAAGATAAAATTTGAATTAAAAAAATGATGGTTAAAAATTATGTTTAGTGTCTAAAAAAAGCGTCGGATTTTTTTTTTCGATTTACCATAAATAAAATGAAAAAATGCAGAAGTCAATTTATCTGAAAATTCCACAATTTTTCCGTTTTTTCCAGAAAAAATCGGTTTTTTCCTCCGGCTCAATTTTTCCGGAAATTTAAAAACCCTAAATTTTTAGAAAAGATTTTTATTACAAAAAGCCGTTTTTAAGTAAAGTAATAATTTTATAACATAAGTATTTTAGTCATTTTATACCATTACTTATTTAATTTTTCCTAAAAAGCGTATTCAACCCAATTCTATTTAATAAACCACTTTTGTAGCTCAAAAAAGCATTTTAGTGAGAAGCAATTTAGACTAGATATTTTACAAATATCTAGTTTAATAAATTGGCCAGGTTCTGTAGTAGGTTATTCTCGATAAGTTGTTGTAAAGCAAATAATTTAGCTTCCTTTTATAAATTAAATAGAATACTCTCGCAAATTTTTCTTATTTGCCCCTTGAGACTGATTATTAATTAGGCTTAGATGGTAGTCTTTATTGGGACAGGACCAAAGTTGAGAACGATTAGTTTGGACCGAAAGGATGGGACACTCTAACTTACAAACTCATTTGATTTAAGCTAAGGGTCAGATGAATTTACTTAAAGTAAATTTTATTTTGACAATTATAGAAGCTTTTTAAACAAGAATAATTTAAATATTTGCAGTTAAACACATTCAAATGTATCTTTTGCTGCAAAAATGGTTTAGTGTAAAAAAAGTTTTGGCGTGATCAAAATTGTATACGATTGTTAAAATTTGTTGCATATAGGATATAAAAGTTTACATTTTGTTAAAAAAGTTTTAATTTTATTTAAGTTATTTTTAAAGCAAGTGAGTTTGTTGGCAAATATGAAAAGGGTTGCAAACTTTATGTTTTTTCTATATTTTAAGCTATCCTTATTTTTTAAAGTCTGTTTTAAGTATTATAACTTTATGATTAAGTATAAACACATTATTTTTGTAAAAATACGTAAATAGGTGTTATATTTTAAATGTAGTGTAAAGTTTGCAACCCTTGTTTAGAAATATCTAAATTTGTATTTAAAACAGGATATAAAGTATTAATTTTCCCAATAAAAATTATTTATTTAATTTATAATATTTGTGCCTGCTTTAAATTCAAACAAAGGGTCATGTTAAATCATTTTAAATAAATGTAAATATATATAACTGTATAAGATTGTAGATATTGATTTTTTTATTGAGAAAAATATAGAAATAAGCATATTATTTATTTGTATTAATTTTTCGAGAAATGAAAGGAAGAGCTCTGTTAGAGGTCCCCGTGTGATATTTCGCTCAAAAAATTAGATAAGTTTGGCTAAAGACTAACCCACAATAGTTTTTGTTTTCAGTCCTGTTTTGTCCATCATTTTATTCTGAAACATACACTCATATTGTAGAAATAACATCAAAAAGTTCAAAGTCCAACTAAAAATAAATCATTTTTTTCAGAATAAAGTGGTATCGCATATTTTGCTATTTTCACGTTGTATCCTGTAAAATAAAAAAAAATACAATGTATTGCTCTTCCGTTAAAAGTGATTTAAGCATGCAGAGTACTATTTATGTAATCATTAAAACTAAAGCTATAATATCACAATAATCACTATTTATGTTACAGATATTTTATTTTTATATTACCTAATATTAATAATTTTATGTACATATAAAGTTAATTTATTTTACCTCTGCATGTTTATTTAACCACTAATTGCTCATATTGAGCACATATATAAATTATATGTGAATGCTATTAAGTTACAACTATTTTAATATTTGGTAATTTGGATTTAAATTCTTAAAAAATATTTCTTTAGCGAAAAACTTTTTTATTAAATATTAAATAGTTTTAACTGTAAAGACTTGCATTTAATATGCTTTATGCCAAACACTATGCTGTCCTGGAGTGTAATATTTTAAAATGCAAATAAACCACTTGTATTTAAAGAAATTAAAAGATAAAAAGCCTCCAATAATAATTAATCAATAAGTGGTTTATTGGCATGTTTCTATTTTATTATAATCATTAACGTTTCATTTGTATTGTATAGTACACCACAGGCTGTTACTGTATACCTAATTTGAATAAATATGCAATATGGCCAATATTTAAGTGTATAATCTTTTATTTTTTCGTTTAGTTTTATTAGTTTTGCCATCAGATGTTTAATAAAAAAATATCAATAATTAAAGATTTTTATTGTAGTAATATTGATGGTAACTAAATGTAAGTATATACATATAAAAATCTCAATTTTCTACAAGAATTTACACTGTCCCAAAATTGGCGCACAAAAGGGTAAAGGTAAATTATTAATGATTTGAAATCTGGGTTGCCTACCTACAACTTTGGGAATTCTAAAAAATGGTAAAGTGCCTTTGGGACACCCTGTATATTTTTAATTAATTACATTTTATAATTTTCAACAAAACCTAATTAGGTTAGCTATATGACTTTTATAATAATAATTATTGATCAACATTACTAGAAAAATATATAAAAAAACTCACAACTTAGAAATTTTTTAAAATTATTATAATTTTTATTTGTAAAATATAAAAAAAATCAGTCAATTATGTATTGAAAACTTAACCAAAGGTTTCTTTTAAATATAATTTAAGAAAAATATATAAAAAAACTCACAACTTAGAAATTTTTTAAAATTATTATAATTTTTATTTGTAAAATATAAAAAAAATCAGTCAATTATGTATTGAAAACTTAACCAAAGGTTTCTTTAAAATATAATTTATTAATTAATACCTTTAAAGATAATTAATTAATTAATTAAATTATTTTAATTTTAAACAAAGTAGTACTTCCAAATCATTTAGGATTATTCATTTTTTACATTTAAAATATAATATAAAGGTAATTTTGTAATTAAAAAACGACTCTGTTGTGCTGGTTGCATAATAAAGATTTAAATTAAAAGAACGTTGTTGGCAACAGCTTGTTGCATAAACTCCTATAGATGGCGCTGCTGCTGTCAAATTTGAATTTAATCCGTTAATTTCAAAGTTGTTTTTTATATTTTTATTATAATAAATTGAGAAAATAACAATGGAAAACAACTTTAAGACACCTTCTAAAAAGAAAACGTTACATAAGGATAGTGTTAAAATACCTGCTTCGCCGTTTTTAAAGAAAATAGGGTTTGGAACTGGTAAATATTCTAACCTTTAATATTTGTTTTTATTTCTTATAATAATTATTAATAATTTATTATGAATTGAAGGTGTTGCTGTCTATGAATTACAACGTTCTCCAATATCTAATATAGTGCAATCTCCATGGGCCATTAAAAAGTTAATTAGACGAAACATCAGGAATCCTGAATTAAACGCCAGATTGTTGGACGAAGCTGAAATTTTAAAAAAGTTGTCCCATCCAAATGTTGTTGGATTTCGGGCTTTTGTCAAAGGTAAATAAATTATATTTGAATTTAGGTAGTAGTTAGATCAAAATTAATATTGTACCTTGGCATTGGTTAAACACAGTAATTTGTAGATTCCAATGGTGGAAATATCTTAGCAATGGAAGAGTGCCAATCATGTTTGGGAGATATGATTGAAAACCGAAGAGACAATGAGTTACCACCATACAGTGCTAAATTGATTAAACAAGTTGCAAAGGATACTTCAAATGCATTAAATTACTTACACGACACAGCTCTTTTGTTACACTGTGACATAAAATCGTACAACATCCTTATAAAGGGAGATTTTGCTGTATGTAAACTATGTGACTTTGGTGTATGTTTACCATTGACAAAAAATGGGGAGTTGGATGAATCCAAAGCAGGGAAAGATATTGAATACACAGGCACACCTGCATGGTTCTCTCCAGAAGTGTTAGATTACCCTCCAAATATTACAATTAAAGCGGATATTTTTGCTTATGGTTTAGTTATTTGGGAAATGATAGCCCTTATGCCACCTGTTGATAATGATTTTGGGGACAGCATAGATGAATCTACAGACAGTGTTGAAGTAAGTTGTAGTCGTAAAAGACCACCCTTGCCCGATAATGTTGAGTTAGGCAAGGAGTATGACTTTATTTTGCAAACTTATTTTTGCTGCACTGAAGATGATCCTAAATTTAGACCTAAGGCTGCAACTTTGCTCCAAATGTTTGAGCAAGTAGACAGAGAATAAGTTTTAAATTTAGTTTTTATTTGGGTACTTTTTAAGTTTTGTTAATATGACTTCTTCTGTAATCTTGGCCTTTAGTCTGTGCACCCAATCTTACGATTTTTGTTTCCTTGTCTCATTAAATCAAAAACAATAGGGCATATAACAAAACTTTCTTTGACAGTAACAAAATGGTTCCCATGTATCCTCATCCTTAAGTCTTTTGCTGCAGCATGAGAAACCCAACTAAAAATAAATAATTTTTTTGGGTAAAAAGTGATCACATATTTTGCTTTTTCACATTGAATCCTGTAAAATAAAAAAATGCAATGTATTGTTCTTCCCTTTAAAGTGATTTAAGCATGCAGAGTTTAGTATTTATGTGGTCATTAAAACTAAAGCTATAATATCACAATAAATACTATTTATGTTACAGATATTTTATTTTTATATTATAATATAAATTAACTTTATATGAACTTAACATTATTAATATTAGGTATACCTAATATTAATAATGTTAAGTTCATATAAAGTTAATTTATTTTACCTCGAGGTGCATGTTTATTTAACCACTAATTGCTCATATTGAGCACATACATAAATTATATGTGAATTCTATTAAGTTACAACTATTTTAATATTTGATAATTTGGATTTAAAAAATATTTCTTTAGCAAAAAACTTTTTTTATGGAAAATTAAATAGTTTTAACTGTAAATACTTGCATTGTATTGTATAGACACACAGCCCCAGCAAGCTTAGATTTACCTATAGGTACTAAAAGAAATTTATGTTTATGAGATATTTAGTTTTGGTACCTTATAATCCTTTTCCCCAATATACAAATGCAAATAAACAAGTTTTCAAAATTATTTTCCTTACTTATATGTTACCCCCCCACAAAAAAAATATCGAGGCCCTTGATATAGTCGACGCGGCGAATGTTTCAAATTGCGTCATCAAATTCTGAACTGAGCACAGACATTACAATTATTGTTGTTTTCTTTTACGTATATAATCCAAGGAACCGCTAGGTTAACCGTATGTCGAGAAATCGGTTTTTGACATTAGAAATTGATGACGCAATTTGAAACATTCGCCACGACGACTATATCAAGGGCCTCGATAATTTTTTTTTGTGGGGGGGTAACATACAGGGTGTCCGGGAAAAGGAGGTCAATCCGTTAACCATATATATATATATATATATATATATATATATATTCCTTGAGTTAAAACAATAAGACTTTCATAATACAATTTTTCAATTTAGAGCTTCATGTTCGATATACAGGGCGACAAAGTTTGAAATTTAAAACTGATTTTTTTTAATAATTCGAGTAATTGATAAGATATTAAGTTTAAATTCGGTACACTACTTCAACATAAATAGTTACATTTTTGGAGACCAACAAAACAAAAAACAATTGTCAAATAAACAAAATAGGGGGGTCCAGTACTCACTGACTCCCCCTATTTTTTATTACGTGCGCCAATGACTTCCAAACGGTATTTTTTCAGGTAATCATTTATTGTTGAACATTTTTTGAACCTTATAAAATTTTGATAAAATGATTTGTTTTAGAGATAATTTGTAAAGTATGGGTCAGTCCATATCAAATTTTCAAAATTTATTTTTTTTTTTGAAAAAATTTAGGTCATGTGATATATCATAAAAAAGGTCTCTAATAGGCCTTTAAAATAAGCCACCACTCACCTTTTTACTTTTAATAGTTTACGAGATATCGCTATTTTAGTAAGTACTTGCAAGACCCAAATTTATCGGAATTTTTTGATTTTCAAAAATCAATAAAACAAAAGCCACCTATCGAAAAAAATTCATATATGGGATTTTTGAGTTTTTTAGTGAGGTAAACAAATTTACCAAAAATTATCAAAATCGGAGATGGTGGGGGAAGAACCTTTGGTTGATTTGATATGGACTGACCCATACTTTACAAATTATCTCTAAAACAAATCATTTTATCAAAATTTTATAAGAGACAAATTTTTTTTTAACAATAAATGATTAACTGAAAAAATACCGTTTGGAAGTCATTGGCGCTCGTACTAAAAAATAGGGGGAATCGGTGAGTACTGGACCCCCCTATTTTGTTTATTTGACAATTGTTTTTTGTTTTGTTGGTCTCCAAAAATGTAACTATTTATGTTGAAGTAGTGTACCGAATTTTAACTTAATATCTTATCAATTACTCGAATTATTAAAAAAAATCAGTTTTAAATTTCAAACTTTGTCGCCCTGTATATCGAACATGAAGCTCTAAATTGAAAAATTGTATTATGAAAGTCTTATTGTTTTAACTCAAGGAATATATGGTTAACGGATTGACCTCCTTTTCCCGGACACCCTGTATAAGGAAAATAATTTTGCAAAACTTGTTTATTTGATTTTGTATATTGGGGAAAAGGATTATAAGGTAGGGTAAAGTAGCCAGTGGTCAGCCACTTAAGCTCGGTATGGGTTTAAAAACTCCATTAAAAAAATCAATTTTATACTAAAAGCAATATAAATGGTAAAAAGTGTTTTATAAACTATAAGATTATGTAAGAAAACATAAAAACATCATTAATTATTAGTATTTTATTTCTTTAATATCAAAAATATAATAAAACAGCAGATTTTCCTATGTTCGGCCACAAAAAAATTATTTTCGGCCAGGAGATTGCTAGTAGTCAGCCTTTTTAACAAATTGAATAGTGAAGGCAATAGAACTATCTAACCATGGAAATAATAATAGTATTATTTCTATGAAAACATCGGTTATAATTTATATGGTGTATAATTTATAACCAATGTTTTCATAGAAATAATACTACTATGTTTACTTCTATTGCCTTCACTCTTTAATTCGTTAAAAAGGCTGAATAACTTATAATAAATGTATTCTTAAATTAAACAGGTACATTAAAAAAAACCTAATTAGGTACAAAATGAACAAACAAAATTCTCATTTTTTATTTGATTGTAGGGCAATCCAATAAATTCGGTAGACATTACGTGATACCACCTAGTACACTTATCACACCCAACATGTTTCAAATCTTCAACATCACTGTCTAGTAACTCTTCCTCGCAGGGCCGGGCCTAAGGGGGGTGTAGGGGGGGTAGTCACCCCCCCCAAAGTCTTGGCAGTTGGTTCAAAATCCAAACACGCTTGGCAAAATCTATAGTATTTGGGTCGGTTGGTTGGGTATACCTACCCTACCAACCAACCCATCACAATAAATAAAATGAAATATAATTTTTAAACTTTACCTACATATTACAAAATTATAATTTTTAATCTATTGTAACCTCCTATAATCGTTACCGTCAAGAAAATTGTATTGGTCAACCTTATGTTTATTAAAGGACATTATATTTCACACAAGCGGCATGTACAAAGTCGGCACCGCCTCGCGGCTTTGTCTTTCTAAATTATTAATTAGTTAAAGCTTATCTAAGCTAAGTAAAACTAGTGTCAATAAATAGGAATTAATTTTTTTTTAATATGGAAAAGAAAGCTAGACCGGGCCGAGTTCTAGTAAAATGCTCATTATGTGGATCTGTGTTTAACAAGGACTAGAAAAAAATGCACGAGGAAAATATTCACGGTGGAAATTTGGTTAAAATTAAAATTGTTACTGTTCCGGATAATCCACTTACATTTGTAGCAAATAAAAAAAATAGAGACTTCAAAAGAGCATGCTAATGGTAGATAAAGACATTCTTTATCTACACTTTACATTCATGATAAAACTACTGAAAATTTTTACTATTACTACTAAAGTATCGATAAAAAAATAAGTTGGTTTTTTTATCGTCTCCACCCCCCCAAAAAAGTGTGCCTCGGTACGCCCCTGCTTCCTCGCAGGTTCCACATTTTAGTTGATCTTCGTTTTCTTGAATAGGCTTTTGAACTCGTAGCAATTTGGACACAGCTGAGTTTGACTAGCTATTTATTTCTGATAAAGGCCTTTTCTTTGCCTTTTTTTGTTCTACCTTCTGCATTCTTGCTTCTTTTCTTTTTTTAACTTGCTCAATTTTTTCCCTTTTTAAATCAATTTTTTTTTGTAAAAATTCTTTAAATTGTCTGCTTGATATTGCTGCTGGTTATTTTTCTGTCACTTTTTTTAATGTTTTTGATTTTTCTAATGGTGCCGGCCAAAAAAAGATTTATCCATGTCTATTATTTTACTTATATCTGGTATTTTATTTTTTTTATTAGCATTATTTGTATATTCGGGCTCAATTTCTTCCTCTTCTAAATTATCTTTACCAGTAGTTCCATTGGAGTTTTCGTCTTCATCTTGTATTTTTGTTTCTTCTACTTCATTTATGCTATTTTTTTTTCTGGTCTTCAAAGATAATTGTACCTCCCTTATTTTCATTGTCCTCAATTTTATCTTTATTTTGCCTATCTTCATCTCGATTTCCTTTTTTAATAAGGTTATTTTCCGTTATATTAAGTTCAATTTTACTATATTCATTATTTTCAACGTCTCTTAATTTGTTATTTGCAGAAGATAATAGACTTCCTTCTAAATTATCATCTTCAATAATATTATTTTCAGTTAAATTTAGTTTAACTATTTTGTTATATTCACTGTTTTCATCTAAATTACACATTACTTCACCTAATTCTTTGTTTGCAAAAGATATTAAATTATTTACATATAAATTGTCATCTTCAAATTCTTCCGGATTTTGTACATTTTGTTTATCAAACTCCACGGCATTGTCTTGTGTCTCCAAGAGTAAAACACCCTCATCATTAACTGTATAAGTTTCAACCTGGACTATTTCCGCTTGATCCTTATTCTGTATTTTTTTTTAGCTCTCCATTAAGAAGACTACATATTCTTGAAATATCTACTCCTTTCTCATTGAAACTTTCTTCCAATTTATTCAGAACTTCAATTGTGTTTTTCAGCTCTCGCTCTGTCACCTTTGGCCCTTGAATATTAGTAAAATATTCTAGTCTATTTTGAACGTATTTGCTGTAATCTACTGCATTGGGATTAAATGGGTATAAACCACATTTTTTGAACCCATTCATTATTGCATCTTTTAGAGAATGTTCATTAAGTACAGCTTCAAGTAACGGAGCAAAAACTGTTTTATTTATCACCATATTGGTATTTTCAGGAAGTGATTGCCATTGTCTAACAGTTTGTTTCCAATGTGATTTAAGCGGTTTAAACACACTAACGTCCGCTGGTTGAATTAAATGTGTACAGTTGGGTGGTAATGCATACAATATAATTCCATGATTGCTGCAAAACTGGCTAAGTTCCATTGTCAAATGAGATTTATGCCCGTCTACAAAAAGCAATACAGGTCTTCTTATTTCCTTCTCATTTAACCAATTATGTACCCCATTGGCAATGTACTCGTAAAACGTCT